CCCGCCGGCAGCGAGGACGGGCTCTGCCGCCCCGAGGGCGGCCGCGGCGCCCGGCGGCCCCAGGCCCGTGAGGAGCCGGGCAAGACTCGCCCGCCCCACAGGAACAGCGCCGACCTCTACTAGCCTGGCCCTTGCCTGCCCCGGCAGCAGCACCTCTTACCCATGACCTTGCGCCACAGCACTTGCTAGCTTTCTTGGAGGACCATGCAAGGAGGGCTGTGGGCTGCAAGGACTCAGGACATGGCAGGGCACATGATGGGGATTCACAGCAGGCTTGGGGAGCCCTGGAGATGGGGGTGCTCGGGGTGTGTGTCTGGGCTGTCTCCACAGCACTCGAGGTGCAATTGCACACAGAGACAAAAGGAAACAAACTCTAACCAAAAAAATCCCTCCCAAATCATGATGCTTGTGGCAAAAGGCCAAAGGGCTCCCCTTGCTCACTGTCACAGGCGCATCTTCCAGCTCACGTCCCCTTGCTCACTCGAGAGGCGTTTGCAGCTCTGCCCTAGGCCTGTGCCAGCTTCTCCTGTGCACTGCCTCATGGGAAACAGAACAGGGGAACAGGGCTTGGCTGCGGTCATCACCAGAAACCAAAATTGCATGTGGGGGGGAGTGGAGATTGGGTGTGTGCAATGGAGCTATTTTGTTTCACTTCTAATTCTTGATCAGAGAGGTGTTAGTTTTGGGAGTGGGTTAGTTTGTTGGGTTTTTTTCGTCTTGTTTTTGTTTTGCTTTGTTTTGTTTTCATTTTGTACTCCACCTTATGCTTTACACAGCCCTAAGACATTCACAGCTGCTATTGTACCACAGACAGGAAGAGGGAGTGCTTACTGAACCCCCAGGTAAAGTAGCTGCAAACACACAGTTTCGGGGTTGTTTTGTGGTGTTTTTTTTATTTTTGTACTATGGAGAAGAAGAGGGCCTTTTATTTGTGTCCACATATATGTCAGAGGACAGTCTGAGGATCACCCTAACACATGCACACAAACGCTTTCTCTCACGCTAACACACAGACACACACACATACCTAACACCTATTGCCACACGAGTGCTGATATATTATTTTCAAAGTTAAGAGCAAGAGCTCGTGGAAAATTAAGTTTGTCTCCTTGAAGACAAACAACTGCTGTTTCCTGTTCCACCCTCTCCCATCATCTGTCTCTGTGGCTGTGCAATGATGCAAGACAGGGTCACGGGGATACTCGGCCTTAACTAGGCTGGTGTGACAATGGCTGGAGGCAGAAGGGGTGGTGGAACCAGGGCTTTGGAGCCAAAGGTGCAAGCCAGGCACCTTCCCCAAAACGCAGATGGGCTGCCTGCTCATCCTGCTCCTGTGAAACCAAAGCTTGCCTCCTTTCTAGCAGCAAAACTCCCCAAATACACATGAAAAAGCAACCAGGCTCCGCTTGTGGAACAGCTCATGCTGCATTTCTTGGGGGTCTGAAGAACTATGACTTATTTTTTCTTTTTTTGGCCTCATGCTTTCCAGCACAACTAAAGCATGTGACTGACATACCCGCAGCACTTGTTTTGTGTGTTGTTATAGACTGCCTCAAGAAGAAGACACTAGAGTAGAAACCTCAGCTGCAAGCAGAGATAAAACCAAATGAGAGCTTCACTAGGTAGCAGTTTGGCTTTCCAGTTGCATTCTGGTTTTTGCTGCGTGTTTTCTGTGCTGTCTCTTCTCAGGCCCCACATTTCCTCCCCCAGCACCTCCTTCTGCTGTAACATACTGCACAGCTTTTGAACAGAGACCTGTTTTGTCACTGCTGACCCTTAGGGATTTCCTAGTCCTGTCAGTCTTGTAGCACCAAAGTAAACATGACGGATTTTCAGGATACACAGATGTCCTCTGCTTCATGACTATTATTTTACAGTTACAAATTGCACAGAAACCTGATTGCCAAGGTTCAGCTGCAGGGAGGGGGAAGGCCTGGCAGTTGCAGCACACGTGATGAGGAGTTCTGGAGTGGTGAGCAAGGGGCAGAAGCAGCCAGCCAAGCAGGAAGACAACAGTGTCCTGGAGAAACCCCTGGGGAGACCACGCGTGCAGGGTCAGGCATGAGCTAATGGTGGTTAAGCACCAGCATGGAGCTGTGTATGAGGGAGTGAAATTCAAATCAGTGCCTGCAAAAACTGACCTTCTCCCAGTCCAGTCAACACAGAAACAACAACAAACTGTAGTGACTGTAGAGAAAGCTACTGAATCACAGCAAGGAAACAGCCAGGGAAAGATAAAGCATCTCATCACCACGTGTAGAAAGTTGATAATGAATCACGTACCCAGGAGTGTTGGCTGCACATGCCTGTGCAGTCACATAACAAGCAATGACAAGGCATCATTACCAGCAGAAGAAGTACCATGCATAGAAGTACCCTTTGCAGTTTTTTTTAAATTTCTAAACCCCCTCCCTGAATTTGAAATACAGAGTAACTGGAAAAAAAATCTTACAATATAGTAATAAAACATCTTTATTCTCTCAGAAATCTCTAAGACTATAAGCCTATCATTCCTGTTAAATTTCACTTAATTGAATGGTCTTTATAGGCTTTCATCATTGGAAAATGAGCATTGAATACTGACTTCAACACAATACTGGGAAAACAGTAGTAGCACAGGGAATAAATCACCAACTTTTGATACAATGGAGAACCTGGCAGGGACACAATCAGCAGAAGGCATGTGCTTGCATAGGGCACCAGAAGCAGGGCCAGGAGCTGCACATCCCCTCCCTCACACCAGCTCATGGCTGGAGGATAAGGTGACCTGACCACACACAATAGGAGAGGCTGGGCCTTAAGGCCACACAGCCCCAGGAGGAGGGATAAGCAAGAACACAGTGGAGGAAAGGAGAAACATGGCAGGAGAGGCTCTGTGAGCAGCACCGCTCCAACAGTCTCCCACTGGAGGAGCCTCCCACCCTGCTGCACCTCTCAACTATGGCTCCTGGCTCAGCCTGTAGGTGACATAAGCCATCATCACCCTCCAGCTTCTAGGTGGCCTGAAGTTAAAATGAACAAGATTTTTCCCTTAAGTGGGTAACTTCTCATTCAACCAACCATTGCCTAAGCTGATGAATTCCTACTGCAAACAAAGGGAATGAGACCAGCTAATGGGGTGAGGGAAGAAGAGTCCCTGAGGGCCAGGTCTAATGGTCCAGCTGAAATGACTAGTGGTCCAAGCTGGAGAAGAGTCTCATGACCACCTTGAATCAACCATGTCCTGTCGGGTTTGCTCCCCACCTTGATGTTCATGGTGTGGAACCACGACAGCACAGTTGCCCTGTGGGGCCAGGACTCAGGAAGAAGGTGCAGGATGCTGCTCCCCAGCCAGCCTGGTGCACACTGCCTGCTCCCCAAGGGATGGGAAACAGCCAGGCCCATCTGAAAAACATGCCCTCACAAACAAACATGAGGGAGAAACTGTGGGGTGGATCCACTGGAAAAAGAGTGCTCTGCCTTTGGTGCCTTTTTACTCATTTAACAGGAAAAAAAAAGCATCAGTTGCACCCCCACATCTCCTCTTCCCATTAATTTTTGCATAATTCACTCAAAAATACCAATAGGACAAATTCGAATATTTTACAGAAACCTTCTGCACTCACCAGTCCCTAGAGCAAGCCAGGAGAGGTGATGCAGTACATTCCCCAATACCTCTTGCTAGCAGTGTATAAAATGAAATGATCTTCCCAGACACCTTCCTGACCAACATATGCAACTTCCCAGCACTTGTCTGTATTTTTCACTTACAAGTTTTTGCTCGGTTTCACCTTTTCTTCCCAGCTGCTTTAATTATGGCCTTCTGCTGGCCTCCCCCTCATTAGGGGATGGGGTGTCAGAAGGAGGCAGTGTTGAGCAGGCACTACTATTAAACTTCTGCACTCCAATCTGGCCCCAGCTGCTCTAGGGAAGGCTGAGGTGGCTCTCCTGTTCCCTGATTAGCAGGCATGTCCAGGGCACAAGTGAAGTGCAGCATCATGGCCATGTACTCTGGCAAAGCCCAGCTGCAGGAAAATGAAGGACCTCACCAAGCCTGCCCTCTTACCTTTCAGGAATGAAGGTACTCAGGTCATGAGCACACTGTTCCACCAGCTGTTGCAAAGCACGTGGTGTCCTGAGGGCAGCAGGTACCCCTAGGACAGCAGGTACCAGCTACACGCTACCCTCTTGCAGTCTGCAGTGTCACTGCTGTAGGAAGACCTGTACATCAGCTCAGTCCTGGTGCCACAGCCAGGTAAAAGCCTTCAAATCTGGATCTGGAATTTGAAAGTGAGGGCTTTTTGGACACCTCAGACTCACCTACCAGACAAGTCAGAAGTGGCATCCACCAGTGCCATGGCTGCAGAGTGCCTTGTTTGAAAACCAGGACTCTGGGTAGGGACCTCCGAAATGGGGATAATCCGAATCCCCGTTCACCTGGGGAGACTGTGGCTGGCATGAGGGTACTCAGCACCTTGGGCAGTCAGCTGAAGGGAAGAACAAGCACCGGTACACAAACTGAAGGAACAGCAGTTGCACCTGGGCATGTTCTGCAGCATTTGCTATAGGTGGGGTGACTCTCTAGCACATAATACTTGCAGAAGGTAAAGGGTGGCTATTGCAGTGAGAAGCTGCTCTCAGTTCACAGGGTGCTGACAGACATGAGGAAGACCAGAGCACGTAAATATATCCACGCAGAGCCACAATCTGCAGTCTCTGGGGGCTGCTGAGAATGCCTAAATGTGAGGCTCACCAGTAGCTGTGCTCCTCTTCTCAAACTTCATTTTGAGCTCTGACACGAGGGCACTGTGGGCACTGCCGTGACCTTTCTTCTTCGGCTGCTTGTTTATAAATTTGGGAGTAAGGGAGCCAGATACTGTTGGCACCCGCCACCCTGGGGTGTCCCCACTAGGAGGAGCCAGGGCTGGGGGTGGTGGGGGCAAGGGGGCAGTTGGTGGCGCAGGGACAACGTGGATGTTGTTGTTGCTGTTCTCGTTGTGTAGGCTCTTGGCATCATCCTCTACAACAAACTTCTCTGCAGCGTTGCTGGGCCTCTTGAACTTCAGCCACTCCATCCTGACTGTCCGGGTTGGTGGGGTCTGTCTCTTTTTGATGATCCTTCTTACCGGCATGATTTTGTTGGACCGCTTATTGCGCCAAAACATGGCAGTAGAGATCATGATAGTTATCAGCACCATTATGCCCATGACACCAGCTAGCACTCCTAAGGCTTTCATGGGGTTATCTTTAGTTTGCATCAAAAAGGCGGCCATAGGCCCTTTGTGAAGAGTCTGTAAAAGAGTACAAAGAAAACACATGACTTACTCTATGGGACAGACAGTGACCCAGAGATTTCATTTGTCCAAAATATGTAACAAGCAAGGCTAACTAAAGGAAGTTGTCTCAAAAAAAAAAAATCAGTCAAAGAGCCAGTCCGAGTTTGCAGAATTTAGATGGAAGAGGAAACTGGGCAAGCCTTACAGTGTTGTGAGAGAGACGACTGCTGAACACAAAAACTTACAGGAGTATCACTGCCAAATTAGGCCAGATTCCTGTGTGTCACCATAGTGTTTAATTTGCAATAACTGAGCAAGAAAATAATTGACTCCAGGATCTGCAGCTGTATTGCTGTACTACATTTCAGAGTTAATTTCCTAGGAATAATAGTGTTGAACCCAAACAGAAGCTTATGAGTAGAAAATGATCTTTCAAAAACAGTTGGAGGTGATACAGTGATGCAATTTATAGGACTATGACTGAGTGTGGCACTAAGAAGATTATGAGGAAACTTCACTTTATAAAATTACAAATAATTGCTAGCAGGTATGTGCTGCATTCTGTTTTCAAGTACTCTTTTACAGACATAACAAAACTCTTTGAGGTAGGGGACATGAGTAGAGCTAAAGAGCTTTGTTTTCAGAAATAAAAGAAATAAGCAACAACATGAGCTACATATGGCATATTAAGGACAAATGAATGGCCAGATCACTTTGTAGCTTAGCACACTGTTCGTCTCGGAGGTCCCCGTATAATTTTGCGGATTTTGCCCTGTGGGTGGAGCCTGGATCTTTTCACACTTTTCCAGTACATGATGGTGGAGATCACCATTGTTACAGAAATGGTGGAAAGGACGCCACTTGTGCAAATTCCAAATATTGTCCATGGACGCTTCTTGAGGCCTAAAATATAGGATTTTACCCTGGACTTGATCTGGAAATATCAAAAATAAGAGAAATGGTCAGCCCTCACAGTTATATTTGAAAGAGGCCAGTACCTATCATAAGTACTACTAAGAAACTAGGGTAAAATGTGTACAGGATAGAGAGCATGTATAATAAAGGGAGCTAAGTGTTGAACTAGGTACAGGAGAGGAAACAGTTGCAAGGACATTGAACTGAATCCAGGAACTCTAAAATAAGTTAGGATGCAAGTATAAACACCTGATTAATCTGGAAATAAAGGGTAGCAGCACAACACATAGGTCACCCATATTCATGGCACCCCTGGACTACAGTTCCAAGAGAAGTCTGTAATGAACACAAGCTCCTTCAAGTGAATCTGGATAGATGGTGGTGGTGTGCAAGGCCAGGAGATCCTTCAGAAACAGCACATTAACAAGTAGGCTTATTTACCAAAGCTGGTCATAAAGCTACAGGCAGCTGTGGAGAGACAGGACTATCCACCATGCCCGACTCCTCTGGCCTCAACTCCAGGAGGGAATCAATGCCCAAGCTCTGCATGTCTAGTAACACATTCTCTACATTTTAGTCAGCAGTCTGAGCTCCCAGCTTTAGTCGGTGGGAAGAAAAGGACAACTCTGGAGTGCTAGTCATCACATGCTAATTAATATATGTATCAAAGACAGTGAGTATAAGAAGAGCCTTGTGACTAGCTTGGACTTGGACATCTTACTTTACTTTAAAGTGAGATCAGATGGATTTTCCTCTATGACTCTGTGGAGGGACGTGACTTAAGAGCATCCCAAAATAGGGGGAATAACTTGCAAAACAAGCCTGGAACAGCATCACCTTAGTCAGCCTGCAGAGAGATTTATGTACGTGCATTTGTCACCAAAAAGCTTTGCAGTCTTGCCTGTGTCCTCACTGTGACCCAGTCAGTTAACACACAGACCAGGTGGGAAAGGTCTGAGCACCCTCTGACAGCAAAAGCCTGGCAGCATTTGGACACCTAAGTTTAAACACTTTGGCTCTGAGCACTACCCTGCACATTCAGAATATCTTCAAGTAATTGTATCGATTACCAACAGTGCCTCAGAACTGGGTCAACAAATAGTGCTACTTTCTAATTTATTTAGCCGTTGTTTTTTCCTAAGAGGCATGCTGCATTTTGAGGAGTACTGATTTTTTCTTGTACTAATAAAACAAAAGCAGATACACAATGAAATTAAAGCTGGTGTGGGGAGAACTGTCATATCTCTGTGGGCCAAAACCTGGAAGGAACTTTCTTTTTTTTAAAGCCATCAAAGGAGTTAAATTATCACTGCTCACAAAAGATAATGCTCTGCTGGTGATTTTGTTTGTTTGTTTTCCCCTGTGATTTCACAGCTATAATGAGCACTGGCCCAGAAAAGGATCAGAGACAATTAGAGGGTTACAGAACCGTGGCAGAAGTTTGGAAGTACCTAAGCTGTTTTTATCAGCTTCAAGAAAGAAGTCCCAACTCTACGACGAGAATGCAATTAAAAACATTAAAGCAACTGATTGGATTAAAAGGTCTTGTAATTTCTTTATTTAACAGGCAAGTATGGTCCCTTGGAGAGCCCTTGTGTGACTGTCTGTCCCCTGCAGAGAAGTTCCTCAGCCCAAGTCCCGCAGGGTGCTGACATGTCCCTGGGACTCACCAGCTTTTGGGGGGCTCTAACACTGACACGAGCCTTTGAAGCTGGTTTCTAAGACCTAGCACCATGCAGTTTAAGTGCAGACAGAGGCTTTCAGGCCATGTAACTGAAGGACAGGCTGCAGAAAACACCCTGCTGCAGTGTATGGGGCTTATTCTTGCCATCCTTACTCCACAGTGGCTTCCTCCTCAAAAACCTGTTTACCAAAGAGGATGCCCATGTCTCTTTTTGCTACTGAGATGGTGACTTATTTCCTTTGTTTTTTTCTCTCCTGCCACAACAGTTTGCAGACATCCACAACTCGTGGCAGCTTCTCAAGAGCCTTTCATAATATATGGGTTTCAGTAAGCAGAACAAGTGGTCCATGTATCTCTACGTTGGAGCCAATGGGAGTGTGTGGTTGAGCTGTTCAACCACGACATTAGCTAAAGCCCAACAGCTATATTTAGAAGCCTAAGTAGGTGAGGCTGTTAAGAGCCCAAGCTATCACAGATTATAGACAACTTGAGCTGTGTTGACTTGAGCAAGTGTATCTGTATAATGAACCAGCTGCTTCTGAGGAGCCCACTTCAACATGTTCATAATTTCTGGGGTTTTGTTTCAGACTGCTCTAGCCTGGTTGAAGGGATGGGCTGACTGCTGGTGCCAAAGCGCTAGGTGTGCTCCCCAAACACATCTGTGTCTGAAAGAAGTCCACTTTGTGTGCATGGATTCATAAGTATGTGGGGATGATTGGATTTGCTTCAGAAGTATCTCCTGATCTGAGGTAGAATGCAAGCTGCCCCCCCAGTGCTTATCCCAAAGAGCAGTGCTATCACCATAAATGAAGGCTGCATGTACATCACTCTGCACGACAGACATGAGCATGGAGCCAGACTTCTCAAAACAAAACAACCTTTTCTGCACAATTTTTTCTCAAGGTCCACGTAACTGTTGGAAGAAGAGACTAATTGCTCTGCAAATGTGGCAAAGGCTGTTTAGTGCCAGCACCAACCACAGTTCTCAATGGTTGCAGAGTCAGTATGAGAGGAGAAGGTATTTTTGTTCACAGAAGGTATTTGTTGAACCTTTCAATTAGGGGTATCTAAGACTGAGACTCACCAGCTATATTTAGAAGTCTAAATGAGTGGCCAAAGCTATTAAGAACCATGGATTATGTTGTCTAAATATGGATTTAAGTCTCAGATCATTAAGAGGAGTAAATACATGCCCCCATATATTTGTAGAACCTCAGTGAAGTTATGAAGAGGCAGAGAGATCCCTCCATCAGGTCAGACTTCAGGATGAGGAGTGGGATCAGCTTTCCCTTAAAATCTCAAGCAGCACGAATAGATTTTTGAGTGACACG